TAATTAAATGATGTAAAAATGATCTTATAAAATTCGGGGCAAATTTGCCCCGAATTTACATACGGATTAAGGGATAACTTGATATTGTATAACAAAACATGATCTGATAATCTCTTCAGAGTAGAATCTGATAAACTTTCTTATTAAGTATAAGATTGCATGAATATTCTTAACTCTGTCATTAGTACAACATTAATATTGTCGGTCCATCTTGAACCAAGTCGAACTAAGTCCTAATTATCTAGTATGGTCATGTTGCCCATTATTAGTTAATTATACAACGCATTTATAATCCTTTACTGGGAAGAATTAATTTACATGATCCAAAAGAACTACAATATTAACCAATTACGTTAACAATTAAAGAATAAAAAAGAACAAGCGTCATTTATGAATAATCGTATCTAATATATGGGCTGAGTGCTACAAAAAAGGAGAAAAAAAGCTCTTCAAAAAATCAATTTTATGTTATAAATTTTATAATAAATAATAAGAAATTGCAAATTTTGAAGAGCTATACTGCAAAATTTTATTAAAACAACTACTTTTGTGTCTTAAGTAAAAAATAATCCTGATATTATTCTAAATTAATTTATGCAAAAAATTTAATTTTAAAAAATTTGTCAATTTCCCCTTTTTTGCAGCACCTAGCCCATATGATCATTTTATCCAATAATAATAAACAAAGTCAAAAAAGTATTTGACTAGTGGTCACATACAAAAACATTTCACCATACGCAAAAAAGTCGCCTATCGTCGGTTTTAACTATTATCTACGTGGTTCTATGATTACACCAATGGTTTAATTGCGATAATAAAATTTTATCCCCAGTTTCAAAATCTTTACAATACCGTATAAACTTTATTTGAGACAATTAAAACCATGTGATGTGATAATTGTCACACAAAGTTTCGGATAAAATATGCGGCAAATATTTTTTGGTTTTTGGTAACATTGCCAAGTCCAATCTACACGTCGAACGTACGTACGTACGTAGTACGTACAGTACATCAAACTTTATTGCTCTCCTTAATGAAATTCGTCAATGCATCCTTTGTTCATAATTCATAAATAAATAAGGAGGTTATTGTTTCATTTAAACCAAAATAATCTGATTACTGTTATGTTATTCCGATTATTAGTTATTACTAGTTATGTCTTGAATGTACTATTCCTTATTCGTTTACTCCGCAGAATTTCATTTATTTCTATATTGCCTGAAAAAATTCTTTTCTTAGTGTGTGTTCCCAAAAGATTTCTTTAGTATCATTATACAATTAACGAATCGTAATGTTATCTGCCTTTGACTGGCCTAAATAGCTCATGTTTCCTCAAGCAATCATCGTCATTTAAATTTATTCCTTTTATACAAAAAAAAACTTATGAAAATGTTTTCTTTCTGAAATTTTCTTTTTTGGTAATGACAATCCTTTTTATCCCTTAATTCTTTATTAATTCTTGTAAGAAAAAATTATGTATAAAAACCCTCTAAAAACGCATCCATCCAAGTTTCTTCACAGAACAATATTCTCTTTTTCTTATAGTCTAACAGGTTTTTAGGCTCAGACAAATACGATTTATTTAGAATTTTATAGATCTCCTGTATATATCATACTTCAAAAATGTCTCGATTTAATTTGTCATGTCTTGTTGTATTCTTAGTCTTTATTTCTGTTGTTTCAGCAGTAACTATGAATGTTACTGTAGGAGGTAGTGCTGGCGAGTTGACCTTTACCCCACAAAACATCACTGCATCTAAAGGCGACGTGGTAAATATTATGATTATTTCTTTGTTTTCTTGCCAATTATTATTATTAATTATTTGTTAATTAAATATTATCGCCTCTTTCGTTTGTTTATTGCAGATCCAATTCGTTTGGGCAGGTGGCCAACATTCTGTCATTCTATCTGATGCTGCTGGTGCCTGTACCCCATCAACTAAAGTTCAAGGCAATGCTAGTAATTATCTCTTTTATTTATTTCTCTCATTTTATATTATTATTATTTTATACTTATTAACCTGATCATTCATTTTATTTTAGCTATCTCTACAGCAAAAACTAATGGCACTGCAACATACACAATGGATGGTTCTGCTCCAAAAGTCTGGTATTATTGTGGTGTAAATATGCATTGTGCAAAGGGTATGTGGGGTATAATCACTTTGGCAGGTACTGACGAAACAAAAGCCAGTAGTGCAAATCGTATTTCTGGAGGAGTGAGTTTTGGAATTCTTATGGTGATTGGTGCTGCTGCTTTCTTGTTTTAAAAAAAAAAAAAGACATTTAATTAGTTAAATGGTTAGTTTCATACTTTATGTAATAGATAACTAATAATTTTTTTAATTCAAACTGGAAAGAATTGCATACAACCATATTTATATTCAAACAAAAAATGTCCATTAGTTTGAGCGTTTGAACGTCCATTACACTGTTTTTTTCTAATAAAAATTTTCCAATAAAAAAAAAGACAAAATAATGAAAATAAAATATATTTATAATAGATAAATGAAAAACAAAATGTCTCGTTAAAAAGTGTGAATATATGGTACTGGAAGCTTATACTCGACAATCACGTGAAATGCTTCAATTTTTTCGTAATCGTGATTGACCAATAAAACTAATGTATTTCGATATATTGCGCTAAAACTATAATCTTTTTAAAACGCCAAAACTTTTTACAAGAGAATTTTTTTAAAAAAATTAATCGATAACTATACATAAAAATTAATCGATAACTTTATACATAAAAAAAAATTGAGCTCTACAAAATTATCAGCTAACTATTCAAAAAAAAAACTAATTTTCAATCGATGTAACTCACGTACACTTATTTCTGCTTGTGATACAAACTAAAAAAGGAAAATTTTCTATGTAGACGTCTACCAAAATTCTACGGACACGTGATCGCGACAAAAAATCTTTAAGTTCGTTTAAGATAGGGTTAGAGACCATGTTAAGATTATAATTTTAATGTTTTAGTAGTAAAATCGGTCAAGGAAAATTTTTTTGTTAATGCACGAAAGGTGGTTTCCTATGCGACAAAACGAACGTTTTCCTGATCGTGTTACGTTACACCTAATCTTGAAATATGATTGGTTGGCGCACAAAAATATCACGTGTCCGTAAAATTTTGGTGAAGTCTACCGGACAATCTACTGCCCTAAAAATTTATATACTTTTTTGATACTCAAGTATCGTCATCAAAATTCACCCACGTGATGATTGACACATGAATAGCATGATTGGGAAAATTCAAAAAACAAACGTTAAAAATGATTGGTATTATTTATTTCCTGGGGCTTAAAAATTATGTAATAAATTTCTTTAAATAATTTCAATAAACTTCTATAGATAATTTTTTTTGTTGGTCTGCATGGTATCGCAAAATAAATTTAAGTTTGGCACGCTTCATTATTCCTTTAACATATTTTTAATTTTGAAGGTTTTTAACAAAGATTATACAGCAAAATTTTGCCGCAATAAAGTTTTTAAAAAAATATTCGTATGAAGGTTTTCTTTCAAAAAAAAAAAAATCTATTTTATATGTAGTCATTTTTTTAAATAAAAGTCGATTTAAAGAAAACTCTATCCACGTAATAAATATGTTAGATATATCATTTATGTGATAAATAATTTTAAAAAACATTATTCATGTAACGAAGTTTTTTTTTAAAAAATATATCGTTTGTTTAGTATCCGCATAAAAAGTTGTTTAAGAGGTTTGTCATATCGTTGTAGATAATGTAGGGGCTGTGTCTT